ATTGGGGTAGGGGGTGGAGGGCGGGGCAGATCCGGCCTTGTTGGTGGTTAGAAAGGCAGGTTCAAATCCCAGCCCAGCTACCTCCTGTCAAACCTGGGCAAGTAGCTTTGCTTTTGGGGGTTTTTTTGTGTGTTTTTTTTTAGCTTTGCTTCTTTGAGCCTCAGTTTTGTTACATGTAAAGTGGGCATGATGACACATCTACTGCTTAGGGCTGGAGCTGGGGGTGCAGTGTGATGTCCCTGGAAGCACTTAGCACAGTAATGGCTAGCTGCTGTCATCCAGGGCTGAAGGCAGGCAGGTGTGGGGCGGACCGAGTAGGTGACACCTAGCTTCCCTGTCCAGGGTACGAGGAAGTCGTCTGGATCCCCAAAGGCTCCATCCACATTTTCATCCAGGACCTGAACCTCTCCCTCAGTCACTTGGGTGAGATGGAGGTGAGGGGATGAGGACTGGGGGTGAACTTGGCTGGAGTTCTGACTCCTACACTATCCCCAGCCCTGAAGGGGGACCAGGAGTCCCTGCTGCTGGAGGGGATGCCCAGGACCCCTCAGCCCCACCGCCTGTCCCTGGCTGGGACCACCTTTCAGCTGCGACCTGGGCCAAATCAGACACAGAGTCTAGAAGCCCTGGGACCCATCAATGCTTCTCTCATCATCATGGTAATGGTGGGGCAAGGTGCAGGAGGACATGGCACCCTTGTGGGGACTCCAAGCTTGACTTCCTTCTGATGCACCCTCCACCCCAGGTGCTGGCCAGGACAGAGCTGCCTGCCCTTCGCTACCGATTCAACGCCCCCATCATCCGTGATGCACTGCCCCCCTACTCCTGGCACTACTCACCTTGGACCAAGTGCTCTGCCCAATGTGCCGGTGGTGAGGGCAGGGGTGGGGCCCGGGGGGCACTAGTCACCTGACCCTCTGGATGGGGCAGGGCTGAGCGGGCCTCTCACCTGCCCCCAGGCAGCCAGGTGCAGGCCGTGGAATGCCGCAACCAGCTGGACAGCTCAGCCGTGGCCCCCCACCACTGCAGCGCCCAGAGCAAGCTTCCCAAGAGGCAGCGGGCCTGCAACACCGAGCCCTGCCCACCCGAGTGAGTACCTGCGGGTGACAGTGCTGCTGAGATCAGAGAAGCACGTGGTCCCGGGATTGGGGTGACCGCTCTCCTGGGGTCGGAGTGGGTGCTCCCCAGCCAAGTGCTTTTCTCTCGGGTGCTGTGCCGCCCTGCCCCAGGTGGGCGCTTGGGCTGCTGTTTCCAGAAGGAGGCTGGTTGCTGGGGAGGAGGCTGAGCCGGTGCGGGGGCAGGTGCCCGGCCTGCACTGTCAGCCCCCTGTCCCCACAGCTGGGTTGTGGGGAACTGGTCGCGCTGCAGCCGCAGCTGTGATGCCGGCGTGCGCAGCCGCTCGGTGGTGTGTCTGCGCCGCGTGTCCGCCGCGGAGGAGAAGATACTGGACGACAACTCCTGCCCGCAGCCGCGCCCGCCCGTCCTGGAGGCCTGCCATGGCCCCACCTGTCCGCCGGAGTGGGCCGCCCTGGACTGGTCGGAGGTCAGCCGCCCCTTCCCACTTCGCCGACCCACTCCCTGTGCAACATGGGGCAGGGCCTGGGTGCCGGGTGCCCCCTGAGGTACCTCTGTAGTCACAAGTCCCTCCCGCCAGCCCTAGCGGACCCCCCTCGACTGGTCCGAGATGAGCCGGCCTCCTCACCATCCAGGGACCGGCAGCACCTCTCGGGTCCCGGTGCGGCGGGGAAGGGCGGGGTGGCCGCCTACTAAGCATGAAACGCCCTCCAATGCAGTGCACCCCCAGCTGCGGGCCAGGCCTCCGCCACCGCGTAGTCCTTTGCAAGAGCGCAGACCACCGTGCCACGCTGCCCGCCGCGCACTGCCCGCCCGCAGCCAAGCCGCCAGCCACCATGCGCTGCAACTTGCGCCGCTGTCCCCCTGCCCGCTGGGTGGCAGGGGAGTGGGGCGAGGTAGGTGGCCACCCTGGGGGATGGAGGCCAGGACAGGGGCGGCTGGGTGGCGGCTCATCCGAGGTGCCCCACAGTGCTCCGTGCAGTGCGGCCTCGGACAGCAACAGCGCGCCGTGCGCTGCTCCAGCCACACAGGCCAGCCGTCGCGCGAGTGTGCGGAGGCCCTGCGCCCCCCAGCCACGCAGCAGTGCGAGGCCAAGTGCGACAGCGCGCCCCCTGGGGACAGCCCGGAAGGTATGTGGGCAGGAGGTCCAGGGGTGCCGGGAGGGCCCTGTCCAGAGGAAGCCACTGGAGAGTGTGGGGTTGACCATTGGCCAGAGACCTTCCCCGACCGCTGAACGCCTTTTCATCTCCCAGGCCAGCCGGCACCATCCCCTCACCACAGACATGTATTCAGTGCCACTGTGTGCCCAGCGTTTTAGGCACCTGATCCTTTTGGAGCCCAAACTGGGGTTACTCCCCCAGCCACCTCCATAACCTTCGACTTATTCATCTCCACTGATAATGCATTATTTGCCTAATATTCTTTCTTTAAATCAGAGTTTCTTAACCTCAGGTACTATTGACGTGTTGGGCCACATGATTCTTTGTCATGGGTCTGCCCTGTGCATTGTGGGATATTTAGCAGCATCCCTGATCTCTACCTGCCTGATGCCAATAGGACCCCTCCCCCCAGTGGTGATAACCAAAACTGTCTCCAGACATCGCCAGGAGGGTGAAGTCACATCCCCTTGAGAACCACTTCTTTCAATATTCCCTTTTTTTTCCTATCAAAGTAAAAATTTTTGTACTTATTCCTGGTACAGGAACCAAACTGCCTGAGTTCACCTTCCACCTCTTGCCTTCCTTTCTCATCTGTGAGGGAGTGAAAAATATATTCACTTGAGAGGATGCTGCATTAGAGGGGTGGCCTGGAATAATCCACGTGGAGCCCAGAGGCTCCGAGACCTGATTCCCAACCCCCTCCCGCCCTCTGCAGAGTGCAAGGATGTGAACAAGGTCGCCTACTGCCCCCTAGTGCTCAAATTTCAGTTCTGCAGCCGAGCCTACTTCCGCCAGATGTGCTGCAAAACCTGCCATGGCCGCTAGGGGACAAGCAGCCCCTGAGCCACAGCTGAGCGCCAGCTTGGGGGTGGAGGGGACCGGCTGCAGCTGGCCAGTCTGAAGGAGCCCGCCAGGGCAGGAGCTGGGAGTGAAGGGTGAGATGAAGCGGAAATTATTTATTGGAAACCCATGCAGGGCCCTGGCTGGGAGATGGAGAGGGGCTGGCCATCCCCAGGGCCCCTCCTCAGCTCCTTTCCCAGTTCACAGTGAGACCCCCTCCGGGTGGGTTGAGAAGGGAACGACTGTTTGACTAGCGCTCTTTCCACCCACCCCTAGGGAGCCCCCTAAAATCCCCCACCTTTGGTTGGAATACATACTGTGAAGAGTGGGGGTGGGGGAGGGGGTCAGCCAGTGCCCTGATCCCCAACACTGCCCTTTCCCTCCACTCTGGGCTGGAGGGGGTCTCTGTCCACCATGGGGAAAGGGAATTAGCACGACTTCCTAGCACCCTCCCCTTGACAACACCAGCTACAGGGGTGGGTAAGAGGTGGGAAGATCCACCCAACCTCTGCCCGGTTGCTCACCCCCATCATGGTGCTACAGGCCCTGCCCTGGGGCCCGCACACCCCTTGCCAGGAAGTGCTACATCAATAAAGTTCTGTCTTGTGTAGATTTGTGCACCTGGTGTGTGTGTGTCCCTGACCCAGACTGCAAGCAGCCCGGCAGCCTGGAAGGGGGCTTTTGCCAACACAAACTAGAGCCCAGTGATCTTAGGGCAAATGTATGGCTTCTTGCAGAGTCTTTCACAGTCTCGGGGTCTGACACCTGCGAACCCAGCCACCAACACTCCTGGTCACTCTGAAAGCTCCAGCCACACCTGCCTTTGCTTGAGCTGTTTCCTCGGCCAGGTGTGCCTTCCCCTTCCCTCTCCATCTGGTTAGCTCCAACTTACCTGCCCTCAGCACAAGGTTGCCTTCCCTTATGGCCAACAGAGTGGAGGTCCTCCTGCCTAGTATTCACCCTTAATGCCTGGAGGCATTTGCTGAGGTTTGCAGGTGCCAAACCGATCCCGCCAGCAAAGATGCACAAGCAACTCAGAGAGAAAAAGGTGCCTCCTCATATGTGGCCACGAGGGGAAGACACACCTTGGCAACCTCTAGGTAGGATGCTGTGCAACCCTGGGCCACAGGCATTCCCCCACCCCCACCCCACCCCCGCTCCCTGCCGGGCTTTCCCAGCAGCAAGGCTGCTGCCTCCACTGCCTCCTTGCTGTGTGGCACGGGGAGGTGATGACCTCTCAGAACTGCCATTTCCCCAGTTGTCAAGAGGAGACCAGTATGTGGCCTGCTGATTTCCCAAAGATCAGGACATGGGCCCACATTTTATGCCTCCAGTTTCTGCCAGATGCTGCTGGAGAGGCCTGCATCCCCGTTTTATGATGAGAAAATAGGGGGACCCCAGAAGTAGCAGAGCTAGGGTTTGTTAACTCCAGATCTGACCTCCAAAGTTGGACTTTCCAAGTGCACCTGGCTCCTGTACCTGCCACTCCCGTTGCCCTTCCCCTGACACAGGGGCACGTGCAAAACTGTCATAAAGGACCATCTGAAGCCGCTCTGAAAGCAGGTGTTCATTCAGGATGCCCAGAGAAGACCGGTGTCGGAAGCAGTTTTGTAGAGATCTGGGCAGCCCAAATGCTTCCTGGGGGCCACCTTGAACAGAGTGGTCAGTACTGCAGCCAACTGACCTGTGTGCTCCTTCCTGCAACCCCTGTCCCCAAGGAGTTGGAGAAGGGGCTTTCTGGGGTCTGGCAGCTGCTTCCACCAACCCTTGACCTCTCCCTTCTGGCTCAGAGCCCCAAACAGCCAGCTCTCAGCCCTGCCAGCTGCTGGAGCTCTCTCCCCGCCCCCCGGGCCTAGCTTCCCTCCCCAGTAGCCACGGCCCCTCCCGCCAAAGGAAGTGAAAGGGGGGGCTGTTGTAAGAGGAACTAGGGCTGGGAGCCTGGTGAAGGAGATGCAGGGCCATGCCTGAACCACCCCCCGGAACCCCCTGAGCCTGCACCCCTACCACAACCCACTCAAGCACCGCCTGGAACCCAGATACCACCCCCACCATGGTAAGTCCTTCAAGGAGGTGGGCCCTGAAGTGCAGGGGTTGGGGTCCCAGTCAGGTGGAGGTGCCCTGGAAGCCACCATCAGAAAGTACAGCCATGTGAATGGAACACAGCAGGCCCTTTAGGGGGTCCCTCCATGCAGCTCATGTGCTCCCTCACCAGGACCAAACTCCCATCTAATGGTGGACAGGATGCCAGAATAATGATGGGGGGGAGGGGGGCAAGAAATGGAGGATTGAAGGTGGCCCTGAGGGATCCAGTGTCTGCAAGGACAGGGACATACCCATTTCTTAGGGCTTAGGAAACCTGGTTTCCAACTCAGCTTGGTGCCTTATCTCCCCGTATGGTCCTGGGAAAGTCGATTCCCCTCTCTGGGCCTTAGTTCCCACATAGGCCATATTTGGAAGTCGAATGAGAACCTCTCAGTTGGAACTTCAGAGGGTCTGTGGGTTCAGCCGCTCTGAGTCCACACCAGGGGGAAGCTGTGTCAAATGGGTGGTGGGGCACAGTGTAGTGACAGCATGCCTGGTGGTGACGGGTGGGCTGGCTGCAGCAATCCCAGAAGCAGATGTGAGATACAGCGTATCTGCACCACCACTGGTACCCTTCCATGTGAGGATGGCAAGGAAGGCACTGCAGGCAAAGGCGTCCTGCCTGTGAGGGTGAGGTCTAATAGTGACTGTGGGGAGTCTGTCACAGTCATGGGTTTAGAGCCAACGGCATCAAGCAAACACATTAAAAGAGAGCCTGAGCTGGTGGTAAAGTCACCCCCACAGCTCCATGCATCTGCAACCACTTCAACTTTCATTTTTTGTCATCCTGTCAATGAGGGCGTGGGGTTGGAACAGTCACAGAGCCAGTGGTGACAACTGCAGGACTTCTGGCAGCTGCAGCAAGCAGCTGGACAAGGTGGAGGCAGGGAGGTAGACCAAGAGGCAGCATCTGTGTTAGTCTGAGAGGACATCTTACTTCAGAAAGCTGATGACAAGTTGGGCATCTTTGGCCAAAGATCCACCTGGGTAATTTACAACTAAGCCATCAGCTAGAGCTCTGGGCTTGGGACAGAAACTCTTCCAAGAAGGAGCCAAGCCAGGAAGACTCGGGAGCTTAGATGGGCAGGCTTTGATCAAAAGAACACAGGAAATTATCTGCTACTTGAGAGAAAAGCAGCCCCTCCCAAGGAAGCTGTGTGGAAAATGCTTAGTCAATGTTTGCTTCGTAATGAGTCTGGGAAGGGAGAGACTCCCCCCAGAGGACCACAGCAGGAAAAAAGAGTGGGACCCATCCATGAGGCCAATACCTCTGACATCTGCCTGGAGGAGTGATAGGTGCAGGGAGTGTTGAAAGGTTCAGTGAAACAATGTTCATAGCTTATTCATGGCTGGAGTTAGTGATCACAGTGTGCGGAGGTGACTCATTCTTAGTGGCTGAAGAGGAGTTTTTGTTGAAAGGTAACTGCTGAGCTGTTGGGTTGTTGGTGACATTGGTTGTGATGATGTTGCTCTTGGTTGTTGCACGTTGGTGGTCACAATGGTTCTCGTGGGTGGGTTGGCAGTGGTGATGGTTGTTTTCGGTGCCAGCTGGTGATGAACATTGATGGATGGTGGTTGGTTGCTTTGATCCAGAGGGTAGATCCATGGAATAATGGCAGTTTGTGGTCACTGCTATTCAGAGTTGGGTGACTGAAGATGATGTTTGTTTGCTGTTGGTAGTTCATTTTTCATTTTTGGTGACAACATCAGTAGTGGTGGTGATGTACTGCTGGTTTTTTGAAAGGGGTATTGTTGATTGCTGCTTCAGTGGTAGTTGGCTGTGTGGTTGCTGATGGCTCGTATTGTGATCT